TGCACACATGACAATATTTCCAAAGTTGACATCAGAGGGGTCATCAACCAGAAACAGCTGGATCTGGCCAACCAGGTGTTCAGATAACTTCACCTTATGCCTCATACTGAATCAAGACACTGATGAATTGGTTTTTTCACTGTAATAACAATTGTAAAGGTTCATAAAGTAAAAGGTAAACATTAATTCTATCATTTGTTTCTTCATTGTCATTGTACACAGACAGCAATGTTTAAAAAAATATTTGATTATTAATATTATTGTATGATTAAGACTATCAATAAACAGAGCAATAGCTTCATAAACATTGTGCAGATTAAAAAATACATTCATTTCTATAATTAACAATAACATCGTGGATCAAGGTAAAGTTGAACTCAACTGCCACAAGTTTGCAGAAAAAGCAAAGGGAGTTTAGGAGACAACAATTAAAAGTTGGTCTGTCCACTAGTACTTACAATAGCAAGTGTTTCATATACTTGCTTGGTGCAGCAGTCTGTGAAATCTATATGAGAAAAGTCTAAAGCCTGGGTGAAGCAAAGTGCAACAGTAATGATAGGGATCTAAGGTCTGTAAAACATCAAGCCTGTTATTTCACCTGAGGGAAAGGGCAGTAACATCTGCACAAGGGTGAGTGACCGGTGAGAGGCAGCAGGAATTTACGATCCAGAGAGGTAACAGTTCCTTAAATGTCCTGTCATGTTGCTGTTTTTAGCTTCATAATTAGTATCCAATACTAGCTAATGGGTAGCAATGTTTTTTACAGCCAGCAATGACTGGTTTAACAGAGCTGAAGAGAGAAGAAACCGTAGCAACTGAGACCGTGTAGCCAACAACGAGGAAAATGGCAAAAAAGACCTAGAAAGTGTCCAGGAAAAGTTGTGATGCCCCGGATTACCCAGGAGGCCTGATTCAAGCTTTCTTAAGTAGTGAAGTAGTGTGTTTGAAACTTGGCTTGAATTTGAACGCTGGCCTCTCATTGGTTAACGCCCAACATACTCGGAAGTTCCCTGTGATGGGGCTTTGATGTCACCCAGGTGATAAGACCCTCTCAACTCCTCGCTGCTGTCCCCCAGTGCTCCACTGTCACTGCAGGAGCCTGCTGCCCAGGCTCCTCTCTGCTGAAAGGGAGCTTTTCACTCCAACACTTGCATCCAAACCAAGACCACAAGTCTTTAACTCATGGTTTAAGTAAACAGATTGTTTGTATTCCCCAAATACTTTTCTGATCTGAGGGAGTTAGCTGCACGGCATCAGCTGATCTCTCACACTGCATGCAGAACGACGAAAGGTTTTGTCAAGGAGATAATGGATTACACGTTTTCTCTCCTACTGAGTCGGCCCCCCTGTTTTCCCACTGCCCTGCAGGAAAACCAAGCAGCTCACCGTGACCGTCCGAGGAGCGAGACAAACGGCACCACCAGTGTTCAACCAAGGACCGTGCGGAGACCACGCCAGATGGATCTCCACACTAACGCTGCAGGTATGAAGCAGCTAAAGAGGCTTGTGTCTGGGCAGAGACTTTGTTATTATAGTGTGCATTTAGAATCGGTGCTGCTTGTAAACTGTATTATTGTTATGAAGTTGATGAGCACTTCTCCACCATTGAGTTTCTCCACAGTGATTAGGATTGCTCTCTTCACTCACCCACATCTACACTCACCCCTTCGTGCACGGAGAGAGCGCCAGCTCACTTTGCCACAAAGCCGTACACGAACATGGCATTAGGGACACGTGTAAGACCACCTTCGCCATTATTTCGCGCTCTCTTGGCTTGAATCCCGTGGTACAGCCCTCCATCTTGAGCCAGTGTGTGACATCATCACCCATTTGACATTGTCTGCCATGTTTTCTTCCTCCTTACTCACTCCCTCTGCCTACACACACGGCTTATGCTACAGGCCTCAGGATGAGTTACCTGTTTGGTACAGGAAAGTACAGACAAGAGCCGTCAGTTGTGTTCATTCAGCAGGCAGTCCTCTGTTTCTTTTTAATAACAGGCTTTTACATTTCTTTTCACAATATTAAACATAATATCCACCAATACACCACTTCACAAATTAACAGACATATTACTGTCGGCCTCTGTATATCATTACCTGTAATGACGAAACTACAAATCACTATAAACAATGTGCACTCAAACTAGGGATGGAACGGTATATAAACCGTCCGAACCGTTCGGTTCGACCGTCTCGGTTCAATTCGCGTGTGTTGCGTTCGGTTTGTGCGCTGCTCCTTTTTCTCATAGGCGAAGCGTATACACTCCAGAACAGAAGGTGGCGGTACTGCGCCTAAAGCCAACCACCAGTAGTAAACAACAAGAAGAAGCGAAGCAGCGTCGCCGGGTGTAGCAGGTAGAAATGGAGTCTTGGGTCAGTTGTTGTGGAGAATAGTTTGGGTATGGTGAGTGGGAAAGAGCCAGAGTTAGAAGATGCGCCAGCAGCACTTTCTAGGTCTGCTGTGTGGGACCACTGTGCATTTAGAGTGACCTACGACTACGGCGGTAAGAAAGTTGTCGACAAAAGTGCGACGGTGTGCAAGCATTGTGCAACACGTGTAGTTTATGCTAACAGCAACACGACCAACATGTCAGCTCACCTGCGGAGACATCGTCCCAGTGAGACAATTGGCAGCGCAAGGAGGAGAGGGAGAGAGTCGACAGGACAACTTCTGCTCCCCTCAGCTTTTAAACAGCCATACGGTGACGAGTCAGATAGGGCGAAATCATAGACTGTATATAAAGAGGGCGAAATGCACAACTAAAGGAGTGGGATATTTCATAGCCAAAGATATGCAGCCTTATTCCGTAGTGGAGGGTGCGGGATTCAGTTCTATGATTAAAGCACTGGAGCCACGATATAAAATCCCCTCCCGCAAACACTTCAGCAACACGGTGATTCCCGCACTTTATGAAGAGACCCGACAAGGAATTGTTACAGAGTTGTCTGACACAGCCTCTGTAGCGCTAACCAGTGATGGATGGACCTCCAGGGCTACCGGAAGTTTCCTGACTGTGACTGCTCCGTTCTACAGACACGCCCCCTTTATGAGAGCCATACAAGCGAGCATCTCTCTGAAGCACTGACAGAAGCACTGACAGAAGCACTGACAGAAGCACTGACAGAAGCACTGACAGAAGCACTGACAGAAGCACTGACAGAATGGAAGTTGCCGAGTGGCAGCAGCACAATCCCTGTGACTACAGACAGTGCCAAAAGTATGGTGAATGCAGTCAATGATAGATATGACGGTGATGCCCGGTAATTATTGATACCCATTGATCATTTTATGATTATCAATAATATTTTTTAATTATCAGTTAATAACTGTTCCTTCCAGAGCACAACAACACCTAAGCAAAGAGCCGCATTGAGAGGTGGTGGCTCCATTTAGATAACAACAGTACAACTGACCATGTTGGTTCTGATCGTGTCTGTTGCTTGTGGACCACAGAGAAAAACTGAGGGTGTTGAATGAACACAGGCTAGATTAGCTGCACTTAATAAGCAGAATACTGTGGTTCTCTGTTCACACATAAAGCCGTTTCCCCCTGTAAATGAGTTGTTCCACATTTTCAGGGAGTAATTAAGATTGCACTCACAACCTTATCTTCCTAAGGTCACCGCAGGAAACAATCTTGGTCATGAAGAACTGATTTTATACTTTTTTCTAATATTTATTTTGAGACACAACAGCTCTTTTAAAAACAGGGTTTAGCGTATACGGGAGAGAGAGAGAGAGAGTAGGAAAGACATGCATCAAAGTCTTAGGGTCAGGAATGTCAAGTATGAAGAAATCAAGTAAAAGACGTTTCCACTTGTTGACTTTATTCATATAAGTGTAGTGGACATCACAACATCCATCTGCCTTTAACAAAACATGACATAAGCACAGCTGGATAGTTGAAAGACTCACTACATGCACACAAGTAGATGAATAGGTTAATCCAGTCAGAGGCTAAATAAAATATCAGATGCAGATCTGTTCTAATCTACTTAAGGCTGTGGAATAAAACATTATGAGTATCATGCTGCAAATTAGTTTCATTCATTGTTTTTATCCATTTGAAACACAGACAGCTTATTATGAATTCTAATCACATTCACAATCACTGACAGTGTTGATAGTGTACAACAAGTGGTGAGAGCAATATCCACAAAAAGATTGTTTCAATAATGATCACAGTGTGCGTATCACAGGTAAGGTCCAGCTGTTAATAATACAGAATTAAAGTGAACACATAACTTTTTACCAAAACGCACAAATGGACAAATTGAATGTCCAATTTACATATGTCAACTATTGAATGTTAAACCTTCAGTTAAAACATGGGGGGGTGTTAGGTACCGAAGTAAAACAACACCACAAGGTCTTGTTGGAGTAACAGAGTAATGTGTTGAAAGGATAATGAGGTAACATTCCATGGTTTGTAAAACTCACAGGAGCAGGATTCTCCGGAAAGGCAACACAACAGAAATGATCACGATTCAACCAGAAATGTGTGCATGCAAGACTGTGATTGTCCAACACAGCAACACTTTGGATGACATTGTGTTGCAGCCAAAAATGAAACTGGTTTGACCCAATTGATTTGAACGTCAAGTCAATTCAAAATGAATTAAATACAAATTAAACAAAATAATATGCAATAATTTGACAATGACAATGTAAAAGGGTCCCGCCTAGAGAAGAACCCACTTGAATGCAGATCCACTCTGCATTACTGGGTTTGAGAGAGAGAAACTGTTGTTTGGCTCATAACTTCAAAGTTTTTGTTCACATGTCAGGCTCATTATGTTTGCAGTTCACTTCTTGCTCTGCAGCAACGTGCAGAAACCTGCACAAAGACAGCTGGGGGACATAGTGGGGTATTTACCAGCTAAATGTTTCTCTGAAGGCAGTGGAGACAAAAAACAGAGCAAAGAGAGTAAATATTGGATTTACATTGGCCCATAGGACACAGACACAACTCCATATGAGTAATAATATTACTCCTCCTAACTGCTAAATGTATCAATACTGCAGGTAACACCAGCTTGTCAATAGCTTCTGTAATAAACCTTAAAAGGATATAAGTCTCCTAAAAAGCTTCATGGATTGAAACTGCTCTTATGATTCCGTCAATCTGAGAGGTCATGATGCAATACAACGTACGCATCATTAAAACCGTTCATAGTCCTAGCCTACAAGCGGCACATCATTAGAAAGTAAACCCACCACAATCAAAAGCATCAAAATCAGAGTCTGCCACTTCAAAGTCAAAGCTGTTATAGTGAGGGGAGTCGAGTGCCGGGCTGCTGGTGTGGTACGTTCCTGCTGGTCCCAAACCAGAGAAATCTGCGCTGACTGGCAGGTCAGGAGCTTTGGCTTCCAGATTAGAGGGTGAGCATGCCCCGAGGTAACCCATAGCAGAAGAAGCAGCAGCCCCTCCCATCAGCAGATAAACCGCTCTCACTGCCTCCGTGTTACTAATGGTGCCGTGACGCAGGCATCTCATGGAATGTGGACTTCCTTTGTCATACTTCTTACGGGGAGAATTCCTGCCTGTTGGATAGTGTGGTTTTAGCAAAGAACAAAGAAGTTATACATATGGAAAATTGTATTATGTACAAACAAGCATGCATCCTAAACTGACCTTTCTCCCTCGGGGAAGCACAGGTCATGGGTCCTGGGGAGGTTGACCTTCTGTCACTTACAGGTGGAGATGGTTGATCTTTGTCCAGGATCTGCTCAGGCACCAGGTCGTGCAGCGAAATATGCGGTGGAACCTGATGTCTCTTACAGGGGCTGAGAGGTGATGAAAGACTCTTTGAAAGACATGAAAGACATTCTCTCAGATGATGAACCTTTACAACATGGCAACCAGGCACATTTTCCAAAACGATGATATGAATGTCTTACCTTTTTCACTTTTTTCAGCACATTCACCCATTGACTAGAAAAAGTGATGAAAGTCATTCTGTTATTACCTCCATGCAAAAATGTACATACATCAATCAAGTCAAGTGAATTGCAGTGAAGTAACTGGTTCAAGAACGGAATGTACAGAAGCCTGTTACACAATATTGCTGCCAGTCATGAGCCGATACACAAGAGACCCAAATGCAGTCAGGTTGAAATAAGAATCCAGGGCAGGGTTGTGTTTTTCTGGTGATATATGAAATTTAGGTGGTGGAAAATGGATTGAATGTGTAATATGAGCAAAAATAAAGAAAAAGTTCAACATGTTGGAAACTTCACATTAAATCTTCCTTGCTGAGAGTTGATACCACACTCTCCCTCTTCTCTGTCCATTATATATGAAGCCACTGCTATGCAGTCAGCTCAGCATAAAGAAACATGGATCACTAAAGGATGATAATTAACATGTGATGTATATTCCAAACAATACCAGAAAAATAAAATGTCATCATGTGCCTGAACTTCATTTTCTTTCTGGGACTAGTTACTCCCTGAAATTTGCTGTTTTTACAGTGGCTAGCTGTTTGTTTTGTTTTATGCTAAGCTAAACTAAACAGCTGGAGACTGTAGCTCCATATTTTTTTCTGTTCGGGTGTTCTCGCTTTAGAACAAACATCCAGGAAAAGATCTGAACGTCTAATTCCTTATCCTCCTTTAAATCGCTTTTAAAAACATGTTTTTATAAATGCACTTTAACTGGGCTTATAGTTCGATCTTATTTATATTATAAGTATCTATATAGCTCATATCTTATACAATCATGTTACTGTAACTAGAAACATTTTTATTGTTTTATTTTATCTATTAATTTCTATTATTTTTTTAAATTACTTTTATCATTTTGTCCTGTAAAGCACTATCTAACTTAGTTTTGAAAAGTGGTATATAACCAAACTAATATTATTGTTATTATAAAGACAGACGTGAGCATGGTATCATCTTACTCTTGGAACTAAAGGTGAAAAAGTATATTCCCAAAACAAATTGGAACTATATGCCCCAAAGTAAGTGGTGGTAATCTTGTCATATTGCATCATAAAACTTAACTCCAATATCTGGACAGAGTATTGATCTACAAAGTAAAGGAATTGGGGGAATTACAGTGACAACCAGACCTGCACTCTGCAGGTGTGTCAGTCAGCAGCAGCAGGTACTTGTTCTGGGGGAGGATCAGAGCGAAGCAGCAATCCCTGCATCCGCCCGATGGTAATTTAGGCAGGTCGAGGATCTCCTTTCCTTCCACAATCGCCTCACAACTGCTCTGCAGCAGCACGAGCTGGTCAGGAGGAGACGACACATCATGGCAGACAAGAAGACTGCCCTCAGCTGTGAGCAGCAGAAACCTCTTTTTCCACTGCTTAAAAATGAATCCACCTGGATAAGAGAAGCAGTGGTGGACATAACAGGAAACAGCACTGAGTATTAAATGAGTATCTGTAGGAGAAATGTTGCTATGATAAATAATTCTAATCCTAACAACAAAACAGTTCACAGCCAGTACTGGGCGTGGTCACAGTGATCGTGACAGCAGTGTGAGCACTGTACAGCTGGATTAAAGCATGAACACTGTCATTCTGTCGTCCCCACAGATTAGAGCCCGTCACATGGTTGGAGGATCAAGAGGCTGTGGAAATAGGGCTCGACCAATCACACGATGCTGATCAGCGTGCACATGGTTTTAGCAAAATTACACACACACACACACACACACACACACACACACACACACACACACACACACACACACACATTGGGTTCAAATCATTCTATTTGCATACAGGAAAAAAACACATGGACACCTTGATAAAAGATCGAAGCAGAATTATAATATTAAGATCTGATGTAAAGAGACAGAAGAAGAGAAGCCGAGGCTGAGTCTGGTCCACTCTGTGTATTTTTAGCCACAGTTTGAGCTGATGTTTTTATCTGGGTTTCCTATGCAGCTGAAACCACAGAGTGCCAACCCATTTGTTATGGTTAATATTTATTTGTGAAGAAAATAAATAGCCTTATAATAGATTATTTATAGAATGATCAAAATTTTAATTGTATGGTCTCAAGACCATCACTAACTATATTAACTATATAATATAATCTAATGTGTGTATTTCTGGAGCAGACTTCTAAAGAGTCTATCAGGGAAACTAGATCAGTATTCATAAAGGCTTGATAGTGAACACACACAGAATGAGAACTATGAAACTATCCCGTAGCTGGATAAAAGAGACGCAATCGCGTGTACTCACAAAATGTCACCACAGCTACAATGTCGCCTTCTGAGCCAAGTAAGAGAAACTACTCACCGTACATCCTGAGCGTCCCACGATGGATCCCAGAGATGTTCATGTTCATGTTAGCAGACGATGAAACCCAGTGTGACAGGCTCACAGAGAAATGTTCCGGGACAGGATGGGTGAAAATCACAAGGCTCAATGTGAGTTTTAATGCCCGGCGTTAATCCTCGTACAGCGATTCTTCCCCACAGGGCCACAGTCCAGCTTGGTATCAAAATGGATTGTGATGGGATGTTACACCAACTGCTCTAGTGTGTGTGCGTGTGTATGAGTGTGTGTGCGCACTGAGCTCCTGCGTAAAATGGCTCAAGAACATGATTCAGCTGTATTTCTAAACATTAATTCAGTTTTAAATACACAGAATTAAAAGTGCTTTTAAAATCAAATGCTTTCTCTTTAGAGCAGACATCAGGATATATATTTCGATAATTTATCTTTCGCTTCCAAAGTCCAGTCATGAAAAGACAATTAGGTCATGAGAATGAAGTTTATTCTTAAACAGAATTGAATTGTAATCACAGGCTTTGTTGTCATGAGGTTGTCATGAAAAACAATAAATAAAATAATTTAAAATCAAAGATACAAGCTACAGACTCTGAAGGAAGCAAAATGTTTTATACTAAAGTGAAAGTGACACATAATCGCAGAGTAAATACATGATGACTTTGAATAAAACTATTGTTTATGTATAAAGACAAAGCTAACTTCCTCACTGTGCACTTTTTGTGCTGATTAATGCAGTTGACTCAGCACATTCCCTTAATTAAATCATATAATAAACTGAAGCAAACATATGGAAATTGGATAAAGAGGCAACATTTGTATGTAAAGTGATATAAAGTATGATTGAATACCTGAACTAGTGTAAAATGATTACACTTAAAAAAGGTGAATTCTAGCATGAATTTCCTTTGCATATAAAGCTTCTTTCTCCACTGGCACTTTAACAATTCAAGGAAACTGCAATTTTTATCAATCTGCTAAAGATGATATTTTTGCACTGGCAGTTGCTCTGCTTGTTTCTCGTGATGTTCATGCTGCCACTCGTTCACATTTTGTTTTGCATTTTTCGTGACACAATCCATTTGTTGTGTGTTTTGTCAGGAATGACGAACACGAGCAGCACGTCAGCTCAGTAGTTGTATGTGTGGAGTACTTGTTGATTAGGAGAGTTGATCCTCATATTGTTTTCTGAAACAGTCTCCAGCTGGGAAGAAGTCCCAGCAACGCTCCTGGTACATCTTCCACACGTACGACTCCTGAAACACAGGATTTAACAACAAGATAGAATGGAGGAGACAAATCCGTCGGAATCTGGGCAATAACATGAATACTTAATAATAAATAATAAAAATTATTTAATAAATAGAAAATATAAAGGCAATAAAAACATAATAATAGCGTTTCTGACTGACCTGTCCAGTGTGCTCTGTCTCATCTTTGTTGATAAGATACATTAAGAAGAACCTGGAAAGGACATGTTCATATTTTCTCATTTTCACAAATACACTCTTATACTGAACATGTGCACAGTGTAACACAGAGGACGATACTCACATGTAATTGGCCAGGTTGTGTTCATCCAAAGTGTGAGTCTCGAAACCATGCGGCGTCGTGTCGAAGTAGTCACTTCCAATGCCACATATGAAGCATTTTGTCTGCACATACAAGTGATAAGAGATAAAGCTGCCATGTTGTGCATATGTGAAGAAAAAGAGTTGAATTTAAGTGTTTGTCTTTTACCTCCATGTCTTCCTTGACCTGCTCTTGTTGGTCTCTCAGTTCTCCAAAGGCATCAATGATCAGACCTATTTGTATTTGGACATTGACATTGTCATTAGAGGTGCTTTTTAATTTCCATTCTTCCAACAGTTTCAAGTCTTTCCTTTATCCTCAATCCAAAAACAATCGCCCGCAAAACCCTGAGAAGGAAGTTCATTCTTTTTGTCAGGAAGAGCTTGTTGTAATATTCACTTTGTCCACAGGAGCATGAGTGGCGCCATTACCCCAGTTCAAACAGGACTAAAAGCCAAACTCCTGCAAATAGGTGAAGGACAAATGATGTAACATCACTGTCATGTCTGTCTTTTGGCTGGAAATGTATTTTAATCAGCAAAAGGTTTTAGGATGTCAGGTGAGGTAGTATAAAGATTAAGTCTTTACACTGTGCAGGCTGCATTGGATGAGTCTGTCAAACACATCCAGTTTCAAATCCTGTTTCATTATCATTTTTTTCTTTTGAGTTGGTTAAATTCTTAACCCTCTATTTTCATTTGATAAGTTGCTCTACATCTCTAGCAGATATAAAAAAAACTGAAGAACATTAAAATGAAGACATGACAGTAAAGCTAACCCTGTTACATAATTCACAGTATATGTACTCTGTATTTAGAGTACAGGGGAGAAATTAAAAATTAACTGGAAGAAAACAAGGTTGCTTTTAGTGCTGTGCAGACTGGGTTTATGGTGCACTATGTTCTCCTGTGGACAAAATTAATATTACAACAAAAAACATAACCTGTTACTCTGTGTATGGGTGTATTTATAAATAAATTTAGCCTAGAAAAATAAACCTTTCCCAAATAAAACACAAAAAAATGATCCTTTTTTCAATTTTTTCCCATGTGCCTTTCAGGGCCTCCAAGACACGACATAGTGCAAAGTGTTTTCCAGACTGACGCCGTCTTTACCCTGAATAATAGCCAGCAGAATGACGATGACGAAGAAGAAGAAAGTTATATCAAAGACCACTCGATACAGCTCGTATTCATCTCCAGCCGGATCCTCAATCTCATCCCCGATGCCTCCTCCAGCACGCACACCCACGTACATGTGGAACAAGTAACACTGTAGAGTGAAGCAAATACACATCATTTAGGAAGTGGTGCAGATGTTAATGTAGCAAAAGGAACATTTCTGATTTTATTTTACATCAGAGAGATTAAAAGTGACGTACAGTCATCATGTCATCGCATTTCATATCTGGTTCATCCTCATCCTCGCTCTTGTTGTAAAACTTGCGGAAGAAATTGAAAGCGACAACGGTGTAGAGGTACACCACCACAGCCAACAAGCCCACAGTCATCATGAGCTGGAAAAAAATAGGGTAGCACAGTTAGTACATTCTCACAGAGACTAAATGAATTCTACTGAATTTCCTCTGCACTTGCCTGTTTGCCATTGTGTGTGACTGAGGACAGGATCGTGCGTAGAGTTTTCACACCCATGGCGATATCCAGCAGGTGACAGGCAAAGAAGAAGTTGTTGTAATGTCCAAGCAAGGACATCACCAGGTACCAACAGAGGTAGAGGAAAGTCTGAGAGATAACAAGGAGGGTTAAAAAACAACCCATAGTTGCCAAACATTCAGCACTGGGATGTGAATTTCTTTTGTATATTACTTTTACAGATAATTCAATGTGATTTAACATTCGAGACCATGAAGCAGTTTGATAATCCTATAAAAAATCTATAATTTCCTGTTATATTGATTTATGGATTTCAACTTTTATTCTAAAGTAAATATCTTTTATAAAAGTAATTTATTGTACTATGGCATTCACACTTGGTTTAGTTTATGGTGTATGGTATGGTGTATTATAGAATCAAGCATAGGTTTGCTTACACCGTCTGTGAACACAACACCAAATTTCCAGATCTGGTACTTGATGTCGATGGAGGTCCCCCTACAAAATCAAAATATGAATTGGTATCCATTTTAAATTCCAAGTTTAACTTTTAAAGAGCAATTTCTAATGTGCCTTGTTGCATCTTATCGTTCCTGTACTGTACCATGCAAACACAGAGTTGTCTGGTTCTTCCTGCTTCTTCTCGTGTTGCTGACTCACATCCAGGGAGGCTAAATCAACACCGAGCAGTTCAGCGATTCTTTCTCTGCCGTAAATGTCTCCGTACTTATCCAGAACCTGGACACAGATATTATATTAAACACTGTTAACAGCTGCTCTACAGCTGCCATTTTAAAACAAACAGAACCAAAAACAACTCACCTTTCGTTTGACAAATTTGTCCCAATAGTTGTTTGGGAAAGAGCTGTGGAAAAAGGGACACGATGTATGAATGAAATTAAGGAAGAAAACCTGTTGGTACTAGATGTAAATGAAGTAATGGCATTATTATGAAGCATCTGTCTGGAGTGACTCATGTTCCCACATACGGTGTATTGAGGACCAGACGGTCCCACTGGCCCTTGATGTCATCGTCCTCAGGCTGCTCGGTGATGTAAAGTCCATCAAACTCAAGCTTTCTTGCGAGTTCTTTCTCTCTTTTAAAGATCACAAGTGGAATCTAACAAAACAAATTCAAATGCTGTTAAACCAAAGTATGAAACATTTGCCTCATAAGTTTTGAATATCGACACGTTTTTTTTTTCTCATTATACCTTGAGGCAGTTGTAGCCGATGATGCAGATGAAAGAGATGACCGTGTGCAGGAGGGCGAGGAAGGCCAAGGTGGGCTGCATGTAGCCCGTGCTCTCCTCTAAATAGAAATAAATCGGCACGTCTTCCTCATCCTCGTCTCCTCCTTCATTCATTCCAGATCCCTCAGCTTCTTCCCCTGAACCTTCAAACAAGCCAGAGCCCTCGAACATCCCACTGCCCTCCGACAGTCCAGATCCCTCCATTTCCTCGCCCTCAGGTGGGATTTCAGACACCTGGACAGAACAGAACAGTGCAGACAAAAGGCAGCTCACACTTAATCTATACGTACATATGGCTTGCATAAAGGACAACATAATCTCTCAAATGTAAAGTGATCTTTTTACCTTGTAGAACAGCAGAATGAAGTTCAGCGCAAATGCAAGGAACAAAGCCAAAAAACGCAGGTTGTAAAAGTTTCTGGAGAGGTAGTTCTACAAAGGAGAGAGTTGCATGAGTCAATTACTGAGTTAGTAAGTGCGACATGAGTGACATTGAATTTATGTGAGCAAAGCAGCTGTGTCACCATGAATTTATTTCTTTGGGTTTCCAGCTCAGCCCAGATCTGAAAGCCTCCTTCCCGTTTCAGCTTCTTTTCTTTTTTCTTTGCAGATTTCTTCGGTTCTTCTGGCTGCTCTTTCTCTTTGCTCTGGGACTCTTTCTCTGCTTTCTCTCCAGATTCAACACTGAAAATCAAACAGTAGGTTTTATTTATCAGGGGGGCCACTGCTGCAGCTGATCGTACATTGTTCACTGGTAATAATGTTGAT